AAGAAGCACGGAATGTGCGAGCAGAGTGTCAGCAAGAACAAGTCGTGGCAGTCGCAGCGATCTCACGAGGGGATACGAGCGTATCCACCGACGCAACCCCGACTCGAGGCACACGTCCTCCAGAACCGGGAGACGGATCGCACCTTGAAACGGGGCAGGAACGTGGACCGTGTCCTACGACGGGGTCGACCGAAGGTACAAACGAGTTTGACGTTGAATTCGAATACATCCCGGAATGCGAACATGCTGATGATGAAGAAATATTCCACGAAGGTTCGGCCTGTTTGCAGAAGAAGTGGAAGCTGAAATGGAAGTGCTACCCGAAGTCCCGCAGACGGCAGAAGTGAAGATCGGAGATCTCAAGATCGGGCGTCGGGAAGGAGTGAATCCGAAGGAGGCCGCAGAGATGGAGGGGCGACTACGTCAGATCGTTTGGAAGAAGCGAAAATGGCTGATCGGAAAAGGCAACGGTTTGCCACCCGCCGCAAGAGGCATCATCTGAGACATCGACGTGGGAAACGCGAGACCCGTCGCACAACGCGTCAGGAAGATCTCGTCGCAATTTCGTGAGAAATTGGCGGATCTGATTTGGGGACTCCTTAGTGCGCTCATGATCCGTGCATCCAAGTCACCGTGAGCCTCCCCCATCGTCGTTATCGTGAAAAAGAACGGAGTCGACATCAGACTCTGCGTTGACTATAGATTGGTCAATGGGCTGACCCAGCCGATGGTATATCCAACGCCGCTGGTCACGGATCTCTTGGACGACCTGGACAAGTACCGGTGGCACTGTTCTCTAGACATGGTCAGCGGGTTTTGGGTGGTGCTTATATTGGACCGAGCCCGTCTTATCTCCGCTTTTGTCACGCTGGTCGGGCTGTTCGAGCGATTACGCATGCCGTTCGGTCTGTGCAATACGCCGCGGATATACCAACGGTTAATAGACAACGCGCTGTCTGGCTTTTGGGAGCTGTCTCCGACGGGGAATACCCGCGAAGGCTTCAGAGACGGGGTCCCGTCTAAGCCTGGAACGAGGTCCGTTTTAAGCCGACGATCGTACATTGATGATATCTTGATCGGGGGTACGTCGTGGGACGACATGTGCAAGAAGGTGGAACGTCTATTGAAAGTCTGTGAGGAATGGCATTTATCGATTACCGTGGAGAAAAGTGAGTGGGGAATGTCGAGAGTGGATTACCTGGGTTATGAAGTGTCGGAATACGGACTCGGGGCGAAGCCGAAGAATTTAGAGACCCTTGCGACGCTGGAATTCCAGCGTACGCAAAAAGGGTCTACAGTCGTTTTTGGGTAGCCTTAACTACTACCATCGTTTCATCCCGGATTTCGCGATCTATGCGACCGCGTTCTATTCCCTCACCGCGCGCGACTTTGAAGAGCGGATCATGAATCCTGAGACGCGCGATCTGAATACGTGGACTCACGACGAACGAGCGTTTGGTACGCTCCGTAGTAAAATCGCGACTACACCCATGTTGAAACACTTTG